CCGACAAGAACAATGCTAATTTGGATAGAGCAATGATGGGAAGATTTCGGCATTTTCTAGATGACATGGATCTCAAGGAGATCCCGCTCTTGGGCCAAAAATATACTTGGTCCAATGAGAGGAGATCGCCTACTCTGGTCAGGCTGGATCGAGCTTTATGTTGTGGTGATTGGGACAATATTTTTCCTGATGCTGTCCTGCAAAGCACAGCAACTAGTGTATCGGATCACTGCCCTCTCATTCTGGGTTTGAAAGTGAGCACTAGCGGCAAGCGGTGATTCCATTTTGAGAGCTTATGGACCAAAATCCCTGGTTTTCTCGATGTTGTTAAACTGAATTGGGAGGCTCCGGTACAATCTAATTGTGTTGTAGAGCGCCTATTCATTAAACTACAGCGCCTTAGTAAGGGACTACAAAAATGGGGGCAGCGGAAAATAGGGAACATTAAAGCTCAGCTTGAGCTGGCCAGGGAGATTCTTCATCGCTTGGAAATAGAGAGAGATTCAATGGCACTCTCTGAGCGCGAGGAATGGCTGAGAAAGAAACTCAAACTGCATTGTCTCGGTTTGGCTTCTCTAGAGCGAACCATTGCACGGCTGTGCTCTAGGATACTATATCTTCAAGAAGGAGATGCCAATACTGTTTTATTCCATCAACAAGCTAGATACAGAAAGAAGAAGGACTTCATCCCAAAATGCAAGTTGGTAATCAGGTGGTCGTTTCATAGGAGGAAAAACAGAAGGCAGTGGATGATTTTTATGAGAACATTCTTGGCAGTGCTGAAGTAAGGGACTATACTCTTACCTTAGATGAGTTAGATATGCAGCACCATGATCTTTCCGATCTTGATACCCCATTCTCTGAGGAGGAAGTCTGGGCTACCATAAAAGACATGCACCTGGACAAGGCACCTGGGCCAGATGGTTTCACAGGGAGGTTCTACAAATCATGATGGAGCATTATTAAGGGGGATGTGCTGATGGCGTTGGATGCCATCCATTGCGCCCATGTATTCAAATTTAGGCTATTGAATACGGCCTATGTTACTCTACTGCCTAAGAAAATAGATGCAGTTGAAGTGAAGGATTTTCGTCCTATAAGCCTGATTCATAGCTTTGCCAAGTTGGTGACTAAGATTTTGGCTAATCAGCTAGCACCGCTGTTACCTTCCTTAATCTCTGCAAACCAAAGCGCTTTTGTGCGGGGAAGGAAGATTCATGACAACTTTATGCTGGTACAATAGATGGTGAAATCTCTGCATAAGAAGAAGGAGGCGCATATCCTTCTTAAACTAGACATCTCCAAGGCGTTTGAGTCTCTCTCTTGGTCGTTTCTCCTAGAAGTCATGTGCAAGGTAGGGTTCGGTCAGCGGTGGCGAGACCTTATTTGCTTGATCCTGTCCACCTCCTCGACACAAGTACTGGTTAATGGAGTGCCTAGAGACACTATTTTGCATCATCGTGGTCTTAGACAGGGAGACCCCCTGTCACCAATGTTGTTTATCCTCGTTATGGATGTCCTCAATTCCCTGGTCAATTTTGCTACTCTGGCGGGTTTGATGCAGCAGCTAGCCATTCAACAAGCATGGCACAGGATCTCCTGCTATGCTGATGATGCAGTCATATTCTTGGGACCCCACAACTTGGATCTGCTCACTGTCAGACAGCTCCTAGAATTGTTTGGACACGCCTCCAGTCTTAGAACCAACCTGTCCAAGAGTTTGGTTTCCCCTATTCATTGTACTGATGAGGAATTAGCACTCACTGCAAAGCGTCCTCTCTTGTTCAATAAAGGTCTTCCCCTGTACGTACCTTGGCCTCCCACTCTCACTTGGAAAACGAACTAAGGAGGTGTTGCTGCCTTTAATAGATAAGGTGTCAGAATATCTCGCTGGTTGTAAGGCCTCTCTAATGAATAGGGCTGGGCGGTTAGTCATGGTGAAGGTTGTGCTGACTGATGTCCCTATATATATCTTAATAGCCCTAGACCTTCCTAAATGGGTGCTTAAGGCTATTGACAAAAAGCGGCGGGGCTTCCTTTGGAAGGGTCACCAACATGCCAATGGAGGCAATTGCCTGGTGGCCTAGGAAAAGGTACAAAGACCAATTGAATATGGAGGCCTTAGGATCCATAATCTTGAGCTCCTTGGTTGGGCACTTAGGATTCGATGGTTGTGGGCGCAAAAGACAAATGCTGAAAGGCCTTGGGCCGGTCTTTCTATCGCTGTTCCTCACAAAGCCCGGGCAGTCTTTAATGTCGCAGTTGATGCCATAGTTGGAAATGGAGAGAAAATATTGTTCCGGACAGATAGATGGCTGGATGGGCATACCATGGTAGAAATAGCGCCTAACCTGTTCAATGCGGTTAAAAAACGAACAGCTAAAAGAAGGACTGTGGCCCAAGCTCTGCATAATAGAAGTTGGGTTCAAGATATTAGGGGAGCTCGTACAGAAGAGGTATTGCTTGATTACCTCCACATTTGGGATAGGGTGGACGGAATTATTTTGCATCCAGAGATCCCGGACAGATATAATTGGAAGTTAACGCAGAATGGTTCCTATAGTAGCAAGTCTGCCTATGCAGCCTTTTTTGGATCCATCAAGTTTGGGCCGTGGAGAAGGATCTGGAAAACCTGGGCTCCCCACGCTGTAAGTTTTTCATTTGGTTGGTGTTTCACAACCGGGTTTGGACAGCTGATCGACTAGCAAAGAGGAATCTATCCCATCCTGAGTCTTGCCGCTTATGTGATCAAGAGGATGAAACAATAAATCATTTGCTAGTGGGTTGTGTCTTCGCTCGATAGGTCTGGTCTCTGGTTTTGCATCAGTTTGGGCTGCTACATTTGGCACCACAGTGTGTTGTAACTCGTTTCTCAAGGTGGTGGAAGAGGACTACTGCTGTTGTCCCCAAAGAAGCGCGTAAAGGTCTCAATTCCTTGATAATCCTGGTGGCCTAGGAGATTTGGAAGCACCGCAACACATGTGTCTTTGATAATAAGAGGCCAAGTGTTCAGGAGATCCTTAGGTCCATTAGCGCGGAGGGGGTGCTTTGGTGCTCGGCTGGGGCTTCCAAACTCCAGGAGCTTGTTATCAGGTCGCTGTCTGCTATAGCTTAATGCTCGGAGGCTTTTTGTCATTCTTGATCTTTGAGTGGTGAGTCTGTATCTTAGTGTCTAGGGTGTGGGGTGTGTGTTGGGTCTCTAACCCTTGTAACATTTTTTCTACATTAATGAAATGACGCGTAGTTCTCCTGCATTGTTCGAGAAAAAAAGGCATCATCTAAGCTATAAAAATGCATTTTTGGAGCTTCTTTGATATAGCGAGTAGACCTTGCTATTTGCTCTATTTCCAACAGCATTTTTTTAGATAACAGAAGTTCAGAAAAAACGAATGAAAAAAGAAAAGAAAAAAGGAATGGTTGAACTGCCCCCGTGCCCGTGTCTTATCTACGGCATGCGGCCTGCTCAATGTCTCCCTCCTCATCACGTACCTGAATCCCCTTCTATTTCATTGTGGCTCATGCAAGCAGCATGAGAACCCATCAGTGGCGAATCTAGGATTTTAAATCAGGGTATACCGTCAAAAAAATTCATATATAAATCGGTAAAATCATTTGACAATTCAGTAACAATTATGAAATTTGCAATGTAATTCGGCATATATACACTAAATAACACGATAAGTTTTAAATTTGAAGATTAAGTTGAAAAACATCCACAACATTACAATATGAATAGTTCAGGCATCATAATGATAGCTCAAAATATATGCATAAAAGAGAGTAAGAGACTTACAATACTACTTATTTGATTTTTTTAGCCGACGCTTTCTACGGGACATGAATGCGTTGATAATATCACCTTCTTCTAGCCAATTATTAAAAAGGGATGCAATATCTCCATCTCTCTTGATAACTACACAATTATTAAAAACACAATACCAAACAATTAAACAAATTGCAAGTGCACGGATTGAATCCTCAATCCTCATATGTGATGACACAAACACTCACATGATACTAAATTGTTAATCAATTTCGGTTGTCTCTGATATTGAGCAAATCTCCGACCTCACTGCATATTATTGATGACCGGATAATATTAGCCATGGATATAAACATGATCTTTAAAGACAAATAGTAAAAAAAGATTGATTCTCACCGCGGTGGCTCAGGCAGTCGGACTATATATGCACGTTAATCGTGCACGCGCATCAAGCCGATCCTCCATGTCACGTCCTCGGCAGTCGACGCCGTGGGCGAGACTCTAATCTGCGATACTAGTAGATCAATAGGAAGTCCAGGCGTCGACGGTCAGGAACTGCGCGATCTAAGGACTGGACCTCTGGACCTTGACTTTCCAAATTTCCGCCTGACGTCCTTATGACCGTGTGGGCAGGACCTGGGCTTCCCGTCCGTATGGCCGCGTGGGCCTGGAAACCAGGAAAGTCCATCATCTCTCAGCAGCTGCTGCGTTTGTTTTCCATGGTGCAGATACGGTTTTTTTTTTGTTTTTTTACAAATACAGATGTATATATATGATAGCTATTGCTGGATCTGCAGGGTATACCAGTGCATACCTGGCATACCTGTAGCTCCGCCCCTGGAACTGATACAGAAGTGAGGGAGAACCATGGTGCTAGCGCGCGAACTGTAGACGGCCACGGCATGCGGAGCTTGGAAAGAACGCGAGGCGCCAGCTCGCGCCGGACGGGCCTGTCTCCACACATCACGATTTTATCTCTGCTTGGAACTTGGAAGCGATGCAGTTGCGCCAGCGGTAGCCACGGCCATTGGAGACCATTCGTGGTCGGCGGTGGTGGTCTGCAGCAAGTAGCCCAAGCAGCTCAGGCATTCGTTTCCTGATTTCCTCTGACATGCTGCTCCAATGATCAAGCTGGATTTGCTGCATAACTTGGATTACTGCTCTCGTTGGTGATCGTATGGGAGGCTAAGAACTCCAATCTTCAGTGAATGCAAGGGCCAAGGGACTTAAAAGGACAATGGCAACTCGTAGTGGAAGACATAGGGAGATCATTGGACAGAACGGCTATTCAGTTCACGGAATGAAGAGTCACATGAGTCACGCACAACTGGACACGAATGGGATGGGTCGACTCTTCAGCTGGAAATTGCAACTGCGTGACTTTGCTAGTGATTTGTGGGGTCCCTTGGTGACGTGGCTTCATAAAATCGCAGAGAAATCCCCTAGTGGGGTTCTCCTATTAGGTATAGAAAATCTGTAAGCATGTGACACATTAATGTGTTTATATGATTTTGCAAATTAATCACATCTGTCATTAATCAAAGCATTGATCATTATTAGACTTCCTTCAGCGGATCTTCAGTACGAAGTGTGAGCACATCGATCCTCAGATTCAGTTTTCCACAAAGTCATTGCTTCGAGTTCTATCACATTGTTTAGGATATGTGTTCTGTACTATAATTTGCAATTTGAAATTATACATACTCCGAAATAGTGTCTGAATTAAAATTTTGGAACACATTGGAGCGAAGTTAAGTCTTACATTCCTTAAATTTGCAACCGGCTAGATAATATTTTACAAACCACATAGGCTATCAAATTTAATTTTGAAAGCATATTAGACTTTCCTACATAATAATAATTTTATATTTGTATTGACTCAATTACAAACTTTTTTTGCTTTCTGTTGTTACATGGTGTGATTTCACTCATTTATTTAACAATGTCCTTGAAAAATTTGACATGTATAGACATTTCTTCACAATAATAATAATTCCTCTAAAGATATAGAGTGACAGTCATCACATTTACTGATTATTTCCATGGGATCCTTTCCCATTAACATGCAACGAAGGTGCAGTGACCGCAATAACCTTTAGAAAGGTCAAAATAATATCTTATCCCCTTTAAAGTAATAGCACATCCTAGCCATTCGATCAAAAGAAGCCAATGTCTCCTGTGAAAGTGGCATACCTTGAAATCTCCCTTCTTTAAAACTTGAAAGCTTCTTGTTTATCCATATTTTCAAGCATGCCATAACATATACCAAAATCAGTGTATTTCTAGTGCTTGTGGAAACGTATATTTCTTGTAAAATCAGTCACAGTGCTCCATTCCAGAATCCCCATATCTTGAAAGCATGTCACAATATATACCAAAATCTTATTGTCGTCTGTAATTTCTTAAACCACACCGATAACTAGGTTGGCAGTGCAAAATCTGGTCTTTGTTGTTGATCAATTTGTTCATAGGAATTACTCTTCAACCTCCCCCTAAGTTATGCACTTGTGCCTCACACTTAAAATCTTTAGGTAGTAATGTTTGTGGGTGCAATCATAGTTTCTTTTTATTTGTATAGGCTTGATATGTGAGACTTAGCTAGTTCTGTTGTGCAATCATAATTTCTTTTATTTTGTTCACTGCAAATCTTTAGCTAGTTCTGTTTGACAATCATAACTTCTCTTAGTTGCATTTTTGCATAATTGAAAAATTCTCGTCCTCTGCAACTCTAATGTTGGGAAAAATACACGGAACGGATTTTGGTGCAGTGCTTGAGTATCATGTGAGTACACTGCCAGCTTAACAATGTCCTATAAAAGACTACAAAAATTAATGGCCTGTTTGGATTATGAGGATCTAGGTTCTAGATAGTGATTAATTAAGAGAATCTGGATTCTGGATAAAGAATGAGATTTGTTTGGATCCTAGATTAATAGAGATACTAGTTGGTTGGATTTGTTATCTCCAAAAAAACAGGGTTGTGGTGGATAGTTGGATTATGAGATTCTAGTGGTTGGATTATAAAAAGAATTCCCCTAGAATCCAGACAGGCCATAAAGTTTACTATCCTTTCCCATTGATCATTATAAATATAGTCACACATTTTATTATAATAATTTCTTCCCTGATTCCCTGTCATTATGCATGGAAATGTAGTAGTTTAGTGCTTCTATCTGAATACTAGAACCCTTGCTTAAATTCTCTTCACTATTTAAAGCATGATTTCATTTTGGTGATCTACTTCTCAGGCGTTGCTAGGGACTTATGCTGATGTTGGCTGGAGCATACTGGAGTGTAATGTTGGCAATATGAATCCTGTGAGGATCTGTGCGTTGAACCCAACAAACCACATTTGCGACCTCGAGATCGAATACGAGGAGAGAGAAAGTGTCTTCCTCTCAGTTTCTGGGAGCAGCTCTATTCACTTGTTAGACCGTCTCCAACCAGGAATCTATATGGACATCCAAACTCAAAATAGGTAGCAAGCACTATGCCAGAAAACGTTATCAGTGACACGACGATTCGTGACACAAAAACGAAACGCGTCACCAATAATCTATCTGTGATGCGGGTTCACGAGACGCGTCACCGATTAGTTGTTGCCCATGCCCCAGGAGCAAGACGCGTCACTAATAACGATGTATTCGTGACACGCGTTAACAAGACGCGTCACGGATAAAAATGTGACACGTATTGTCAAGGCGCGTCACAGATAGATTGTAGTATTGGTGACGCTGGTTAACAAAACGCGTCACAGATAAGACATGTGACGCGTTTTTGCTGGACACGTCACCAATAGGAAAGCATATCCGTGACACTTCTCGATAACACGAGTCATAGATAATAAATGTGACGCGTGTTCTAAAGACGCGTCACTGAGTTGTGGCCGGGGACACATCTACAGCACCGATCTTAACTCATGTTTATTAGCTTCGTCCCCTAAAAAAAATGTCACGGTCGAAATAAAAAACGCGTGGAGCTCCGACCGCCGACCGCCGCCGTTGACCTACAGCTCCGGCCGGTGCCCTGTGGAGTCCCCACACCACGGCACCTACAGCTCCGGCCGGAGGCAGCCCCCACCCCACCCCGGTGGACTCCCAATCCCAGCGCGTCCAGAGCTCCGGCAGTCGCCGCGCGCCGCGCGCCCACCTCGGCTCCTCCAGCTCCGGCCGTCGCGGCCGCCCATCTCGGCACCTGCATCTCCGGCCAGAGCCCCCCACCTCTGCGCCGCCCCATCACTCGAGCCCAGGCCCCGACGGTCACGTGTCGTCGGCGGCCTCCAGGGCGCAGCATCGTCGGACCAGAGCACGGCCGTCTTCGTGTCAGCAAGGGCGAGATTCGCTCACGTCCATCGCCCACCTCGAGCAGAGGTACAGCATCGCTCACTTCTTTTCCCTTTTTCCCTTCGGCTGTGTTCTTGATTGTGCGAGAAATGGATCCGGTGCTGTCATGTGGAAGTGTTCAGAGAGTCTGTAACTGTCAATTGACAGCAATCTGTAGTGTACACACTATTGCTCGGATGCAGAATAATCTCTAGTGCCAGGTACAGGTACTATTGCTTATCTCTAGTGTCAATTGAAGCTTTACACAAAAAAATAGTGTCAATTGAAGCCCCACTATTGCTCGTCTCCTGGAATTAACTTTGAGATGCAGGCTTGTTTGGATGGAATCATGGAAGCGTGGCTAGCTAGACAGTAGTAGACTTGTGCAATATCCATCCATCCAATGATTCAAAAAGTTCAAAACTGCTACTTAGAATTGATGTTAAATTGCAATAGCTTCGCAGTCTAAAATGTGTTGCCTACGTGGCTCCCAGAAAAAGAATTATGGGAAGACATCTGCATGTTCTTTCTTGTTTCTGGCAAACAAACACTGACAGCTACTAATAGGTAGTCTACTTTGTCAGGCAAAATTATCAGGTCCCGTTATGTTCCATTGTTTCTCTGCTACAAACGTGGAATTAGTCCAAAACTAAACTAACCAAAGACAGATTTCAGTTTCTGTTATATATATGCCTATGATTATATATATGAGGTTCCTAATGTTTCTCTGCTATGGTCAAATAACCAATACTGCCAGACAGTACTTAGCAGCAAAATTTCTTGAGGTCGTGCCTATACTAACCAGTTACTCGAATGCTTGTGTGTTCAGATTAATAATATCCGATATGCTTGATTTCTGCAGGGAGCAAAGCATCAGATACTCGAGGAATAGCAAAGCCTGATTCCTGACAACTACGTTTGTTCCAAGCTGCAAATGCTTTACTGCTTGAAATAATCAATGGAGGATAGGAGTGCTGAACACCACTAGCCAAGAAGTCTACTAGTCGAAGGAAGCTGCTACTGTCCAAGTAGGTATTTTCTGCTGATTTAGCATCTTCCCAATTGGGTCCTCACGGTGTATTATTGGTTGTTGGATTGAGACATAGTGGGATTGCAAACATAAAGTCTAAAATTTAGTATTTTTTGGATTATTTTTGTTGGGATGGATTGGATTGATGTCGTGAGGGACTGGTTAAAATTCCAGCAGTTTTGGTTTTGAAAATTTCATTGCAAAATAGACAGTAGGTGTGCTCTCTGTTCAGTTTAATGCATAATATTTTTCTATCAGTGGTATACAGCTTAGTACCCTGTTCTAGCTAGTTGTTGTCTTCTTTGGCTGTTAGTTCAATACCAGGTCTGACTGAACTCACATAGCCAAGCTAAGCTCTACTTCAGTGCAACTTGTTTTTCATAGAGCTTTGGCTAGTCATATCTTTTTCTTTGGAGTGTCACAATGATGCAATAGTAAATTTACTATTCAAGTAATTTATAGGATTTTCATGCAAGGATTAGTTGATTTCATTTGTTTTCATACTTTTGTAGATATGGAGGATCGGAGCTGGATGTCTCTTCGCAACCGTGCATGTGCTCAGTACTTAGATGGTCTGAAATTATTCATAAGAGCTGCAGAGGCGGATATGTTGAATCGGCACAAGACAACTATGTGGTGTCCATGCATTGATTGTGAGAATAAGAAGCAGTTCTCGAGTTCATTAACACTCCATGCCCACCTGATCCTCCGAGGATTCATGGATCACTACAGATGTTGGAACAAGCATGGAGAAGGATTTAATGATCGAGACTTGCAAGCTGGTTGTATGGACCAAGGATTCTCTGGTGACCTACGTCAGGATGATGGAACTCATGGTGCTGGTCAGGACAACGAGGAAGGACCCTTTTGCATCCCGAATCTCACCGATGACAAGCTAGCAGATATCAGTGCCAATTATGCCCAGAAGTCACAGGACCTTGAGGAGATGGTGCGTGATGTCATGGGCTTTGATGAGTACACTGAGGCGGAGATGAAGAAGCTGAAGAGGTTGATGGCAGACATGAGGACTCCTCTCCATCAGAGCTGCAAGGCAAAGTATTCAAAGTTGTTTGCTACTCTCACGCTTCTCCAGTTGAAGGCGACATATCATTGGACTGACCGGAGCTTCGATGCATTGCTACATCGATTAGAGGACATGTTGCCTGAGGGGAATGAGTTACCCAAGACCACATATGAGGCCAAGCAAATTGTTTGCCCTATGGGATTGGAGGTTGAGAAAATCGATGCCTGTAAGAATGACTGTATACTGTACCATGGTAAAGAAAACGAAAAACTGACCGAATGCCCCGAGTGTGGAGTCTCTCGATACAAACGAAGAAATGACGGGGGTGATGAGGACAAGAGGCATGGAGCTCCTTGGAAGGTGGTATGGTACTTCCCTATAATCCCTCGCCTGAAGCGTTTGTTTGCAACTGCCAAGGATGCGCAGTTGTTGAGTTGGCACAAGGAGGGACGCAAGAATGATGGTTACCTACGGCATCCAGCAGATGCTATTCAGTGGCGCGTCATCGACTCCAAGTATGCATCTTTTAAAGATGAGCCAAGAAACATTCGCTTTGCACTGAGCACAGATGGCATGAACCCGTTCGATAACAGGAGCAGCTCGCACAGTGTCTAGCCTATGTTGTTATCGATCTACAACATTCCATCGTGGCTGTGTAACAGGAGGAAATACATGATGATGCCACTTTTGATCTCGGGTCCACATCAGCCAGGGAATGACATCGATGTGTATCTAAGGCTGGTTGTCGATGAGCTCAAGACGCTCTGGTCAGACGGTGTCAAGGTATATGATGGGTTCAAGAGAGAGTCATTCAAGTTGCGTGCAATGGTGTTAACCAGCATCACCGATGTTCTGGGACACCGTTGCTTGTCTGGGCAGTCCAAAGGAGAGAAAGATTGCTTTTAGTGCTTAGATGATACCGAGAGTCTTTGGCTGAACAACTCGAAGAAGAGGGTGTACATAAGACATCGTCGTTTCCTTAGCCGATCCCATCCTTACCGGCTCATGAAACTCCAGTTTGATGGCACAATTGAGAAGGGATCTGCTCCGAGGCATTTCACTGGGCACGATGTCTATGACCAGGTAAAGGATGTCAATGTTACGTTGGGGAAGAACAAAAAGAGTGCCCTTGGAAAGAGAAAGCGCAAGGAGGAAGAAGTTGTTGATAAGAGGTGGAAGAAGAAGTCCATTCTATGGGAGCTACCCTATTGGAAAGACTTAGCAGTTCGCCACAGCATCGATGTCATGCATGTGACAAAGAATGTTTGTGGGAGCTTACTTGGAACACTCTTGAACACCAAGGGGAAAAGCAAGGACCATGCAAATGCACAAGCGGACATGAAAGATTTGGATATCAGGCCCGAGTTGTGTCCTGAGGGCCCCAGTGCCCAGCTACCATTATGTGCCGTAAATCTAACTAAGGAAGAGAGGTAGGAGTTGTGCGACTTCTTCCGTAGCGTGAAAGTTCCCTCTGGATACTCAGCGGACATCAGGAAGCTCGTGGCGCCAAAAGAGAACAAAATGCTCCCAATGAAGGCTCACGATTGCGATGTCATGCTCACAACAATGCTTGCGGTTGGAATCAGGAACATTTTGCCAGAAAAAGTCCGAATGGCAATCATGAGCCTATGCTTCTTCTTCAATGCAATATCTCAGAAGGTTCTTGATGAGAGGTCACTGGACAATCTTGAGAAGAAGCTTTTCCAGACAATGTCTCTTCTAGAGGCGTACTTCCCACCGGCATTCTTTGATATATCTGTTCATCTCATTGCTCATCTGGTCACGAAAGAGGTTACCAGCAAGGTCACACAGGATGTCATGTCCTATCTTGCAGACCAAGGCTTGTTGGTAAGACCACCACCTTCTAGGACCCCTAGTCCTACCTATGGACGAAGGAGCAGTTGTGCCTCTGCCTCCAACGCTGTTCCAAACGACTTGGAGTTGGGGCCCAGTTCAGTTTCTCCAGATACTATTGATCTTCTTGAAGAGCCAACCCAATGTTCCTTGGTAGTGAACCTTGGAAACTATCGACCTGTGGTTGCAGAGGGTCGGGTGTTCCCAAAGGAGTTTGTGCTAGAATCAGTCCAAATAGATTATGATTATGCAATAGTCCAAGTGGAATGTGTACATCAGGGTTATGAGGATTATGTGCTGCAGCCGCCCCCTAATGATGATATCAAAACACTTAGAGAAGCTCTACTACAGAGGATACAGTGGAGAAGGGATTGGATTCTAGTGAAACAAACACATGAGACCCAGCCAACCCAATCTCAACCAGATGAGACCACAAAGAGTGCCAAGAGTGTTTCGAAGGGCACTAATGCTATTATTTCTACAAAGCTACTTTGTGGAGCCAATTCAACTCCTTCAAATCATCAATCTCTGGCCACATCTGATGCAACAAAGAGTGTGCCAAAGGAGCATAATACAACCAACCCTTCAAAAAATCCAAACAGCTCAGAGAAGGAGTGCACTAAGCTGCCCACACAGCCAAAAGTGGGAACTGAGGCTATTGGAAGCGGTGCAAGGCCACCCAAGCAACCCAAAGGGGCTAGTAAGGCTGCTGGAGAGAGTGAAAAGGCAGCCATAAATAAAAAGTTGGCTAGTAAGGCTGTTGGACAGAGTCTAAAACAACCGCAGCAGCAAAAATGGATTGATAAGTACAAATGTGGCCACCCATTTCTCCCAGCAATGGACCTCAAGGCGGTAGGACCTGGATGTACTGCTCTTCATGCTCATTACGTGAAAGATCGCGTCAACAATAAGCATGGGATAGTGGTTAGGTTCAGGGGTATTTATATGCTGAACTCATCAAATTTCGAAGTCGGGCTTGTGAGATACAATTTTCTGTATGACCTCTTCCAATTTGGGGCATTGGATGCCTCTCTTCTTCAATGCTGGATATTGTAAGTACCTCCAAACAAATCTGTGTTCTTTACTTTTGTTACCCCATGGTAGAAGAACAGAAATAAGGTCATAGCTGATAGTAGTTCTCCTTACATTTAAAGTAACCATCTAATAAATAAATCATCCACCTATGTCATTATGAAAACTATCTATATCATCCCTACATTTGTATCTAGCCATCTCCATATAGAGTATTTGGTAACTAAAATTTATAACAATCAGGCAAAGATAGAAGGTATATATATATATATATATATATATATATATATATATATATATATATATATATATATATATATATATATAATGTACTATGAGCAGAACATTTTCTATTAGTTATGTGCCCCTAACTTTATCCATGAATTTCTCTCAAGAAATTACTAGGCTGCACAAGAGCTCAGATTGGTGGAATTTGATTCCACCGTGTTTGGATCATATTTTGTCTAAAGAGGCACTCCATATTCTCAAAAGAAATAACCGAATAAGTGAGAAAAGAGAGGATGTGAAATTTAGTTTCAGGGCTTTTTTGGTACATATGTAAGGGCATAGTATTTGAGCTGTAGCTTTTGAACATGTCAGCTTTTCTGTTCCGGTGGTATATCTCCCTTGCTGCTGCTGCACGCTGCACGCTGCACGCCATCCAGGCATAGATTGGGCTTGGGCATGATAGGTTTTTTTTCTCACCCATTGTAGTATTTCTAAGGTTGAGTGTGAGCATGCCAAAAGTTTCAAGTTTTTCCATGTGTTGTATGACCAGAGATCCTACATAACTGATAAACATGAATAAAAGATATGCTCTTTCAACTCAACCTTTGCGTTGCTCTGTTAACTTCATGTTGAATTTGGTTTGGTTCACTGACTGTATTTTGATTATTGTCTGAGTGACCACCTGACATCAGTTTTTTGCGAATTTTGTTCCACACTATTAATCTCCAGTTAACAGCTAAACTGGTTGGCTTCAGCGTGAGACAAACCAATTACCTTTAACACATAGTAGTTCGGGGACAATTGGTAGTGGCGGAGTTAAAGTAGATTGTTTGTAGGTGGGTTTAACTGTTCTGGCAAACAAAATAACTGTGTTGGCCGGCAGCTTTTATCTGGTTACTGATACTATTACTTTGGTCCTTTGCAGAACCTACTAGGTCTTGTTTATACAGTTCTGTTCTGATAGCTGCTATTGTGCCTTTGTTTATTGCCAGTTGCTATTTTTGCAGAACCGCTTTTGAACATGTCAGCTTTTGAACATGTCAACTTTTGAACATGTTTAGAGTGCTTCTAGAATAAAACTGAACATAAACATCAATTTTGTGCTTGGTTTACCTTGCATGAGTTGAGGTACAGAGTACAGACGTTAAACTTCAATTTTCATGCTCTGCATCATGTGTATTCTAGTTGACCCAGATAAAATGCAATTAAGCTGGTTGAAGTAGCTGACCCAGATACATATGCTTGCAGTTCATCGGCTGTTCTGTACTCATTTTCTCTAGGCATATCCTTTTGGTTTATGTACTCATGTTGTCTACATGTTCTTTCTTATTTTTAGATCACTGGTTGTGGAAGCTAAGGCTAAGGACATTCATGTGGGCTTTCTAGATCCACAAGTGATGTCACTGGACAGCATAACATTTGATAGAGACAAAGTTCTGCAGTATGTACAAAAGGCCTTCACCAAGTATACCAAGAATGACTACATAATGTTTGCCTACAACTCTGGCGGCTTAGCTGGTGATCATTGGATCATCGTGGTAATAATTCAAAAGTGGAATAAGGTCATATACCTTGATTCCAACAGATCTGAAAACCATGATTTCAGCGTGCTAAAACTGTTGATTGACGAGTGAGTTGTTTGCTTACCTACTATTGACTTGTTTCATAAGTGCCAATATCATTGAACCAACATAATGAGCCATATATATGTGTGTGTTGTACTCTTACATGTAGGGCTTTTGCAAGACACACAAACAAGCTGAAAGACAGACCACAGCCATTGAAACATGCTTTTAAATATGCGGTAAGTGCTTCCAAAAATAAAAGTCAATATTGTGCCTCTAGTATATTAAGTACTGTGTTCAACTTCCATTTTCAAATTATTGTGTTCTATATATATTTGTCGCGGTGCCTTCAACAATCTTCTGCTAAGTCATCTGGCTGGTATGCTGCACACCACTTGTTTTTAGCTATGAGAAAGACAAACTTGGAATACTCTGAGGTATTCATATCTAAACTTTGGATGTGCAAATATAATGGCCCATGGTTGTTTGAGTGTGTGTGACTGTGTCATGTCCTAGTATAGTTTTTAGCCCATGGTACTTGTTCTGCTACCTGTCTTTTTCTATCTCAAGAGAAGAGAAAAGGTGGAGGCTTTATTTGTATTGCTACCTGTCTTTTCGTTTTGGGGAGTGATCTGATGAGGGTGGAGGAGCAGGTGCCAGCTCTGTGCTTTTGCAGCTGAACCTCCTTATGCTCCAGGTAGTTTAGTGATTGGATTAGGAGCATGCAGCTAGCTAACAGATTATTTTCTCTGATTGTTTATTTGTTTCCTAGCACTCGGATATAGTGTGGCCATTGTCGCAGTGGCCAGTTTGTGTTTCAATTTGAGTATCATTATTCGGTAATAGTGGCACTAGCCGATTGCTCATAGTCTTGATGAAAAAGTTTGTGTGGCCCCAGCATTATGTCTTCAAATCAGTCTCAAGGAAACAGTCCTGCGTGTCCAGAAAAAAGTCTCAAGTAACAGTTGTATTTCAAACCTTAATGTGATTTCACTACATTTGTAGGCTATTCCCTTGATGTAGAAGAAAACTCTGCAGTTTCTTTTCAGTGGAAACATGCACAGTACTACTTTAGTCATAAGCTCGAATGCTCGATGCTTTACGCTGCCTATATATTTTACTCAATGATAGACATATGCACAGCACCATCTGCTTGCTAATGAATTTCCACATCTGCGGATGTTCCTATGTCCCTTGATTGTTTGCATCAAGCTTAGCAACTGTGATTTTTTACATTGATTGTCTATATTGTCCTGTACATTGTACTGTACCATGTTTTCTTTTTTACCAAAGTTCTATCTTGACACAGGAATTTGAAGTGTTGACGACGCCCATCGATATGCTCATGATTAGAGAAAAGCTAGCCAGGTTCTTAGTGGAACAAGTCATCGAGAAGAAAGGAGAGTTCCATCATGACCAGTGATGTGTGTTTGCCATTATCAGTGTAAGTCCAGTGATGTAGTGTGTGACTAAATAAATTAAGCCCAATGTTTAGATGGATTTCGAACAAGTTGTGATGGATTTTGAACAAGTTGTGAACATTTGATATAAATGTGAATCTGTTGAACTTGATGTCTATCTCGTGTGAACATGTTACATATTGATGACTTATATATATATATATTTCTTCTGTGAACGATGTGGGGTTCTGATGAGCAATGTGTACATTTGTTATATGCTATCAGTGACACATTAGACAGACATGAGTCACTGATATCAAATTATCAGTGACGCAAATCAGTGACGCATATTCTTAGTATGTGTCACTCATATATCCTTATTCGTGACGTGTGTTACCACAACGTGTCGCTAATATAGACTTATTAGTGACGCGGGTTCCCACAGCGTGTCGCTGATATGGATTTATCAATGACGCGTGTTCCCATTTTCAGTGACGCATATTCTAAATAAGTGTCACTCTATTTCCTTATCAGTGACGCGTCTTACAGTTATCGGTGACGCATGTTCGCGTTATCAGTGACTCGTGTTCTAAATATGCGTCACGGATAGTTTCCTATCAGTGACGCGTTTTTACGCGTCACTAATGTGCCCTTATCACAGACGCAAGAATAGTGACGCGTGTTTTACGCGTCACTGATGACCCTCTACACGCGTCACTGATAAGGTTTTCTGGCATAGTGAAGAGACCCAAAATCAGCCTCCAACAGAGTACCTATATGGGAGACTTATTTTGTGTTGCCTGAGATGCACAACCCAAATATGGGCATCCTCTCTCCTAGAAACTCATTTGCAGAAAGGATTCTCTTTTGGGTCTTATTGTTGGAGAAGATGTCAAATATGTATTGAACCTTTTGCCTGTAGCGCTACCCAAAGGATGAATGTATTTTGTATTTTAGGTGTTGTTGTTGAAGATAGCTTTAGAAAGAATTTACAATCATTCTGCCAGTGATGATCAAGCCCACACTAGTAATAAACTTGCTAGTAAAACTGAAAGTCCTGCATGCTTGAAGAGAAAGCATCAAGGTAATGAGGCTAATGGAAATAAAGAGCCTTCTCTCAAGGAGCCTAATGTTACTAAGGCTGATGACAAGAATGATGCTTCCCCAGAAGAGCCTATAATTAGTGAGGCTAGTGGCAAGAATGCTGCTTCTGCAAAAGCAGCCTGTAGTAGGTGAAGATGATGACAATGATGACCACCTACCTGTCCTTGTTGCTCATAAGAAGAGAATGGCTACCACAAAGTATTTAATTTTGAACTCAGTATATTAGAATCTGGGATTGGGAGGAGCAGGATCCCGACCCCGCGCGCGCGCCCACGCTATTCTCCCGCCAACAAGCGCCGGCGGCGGTGATGAAATTTTGGATCCTCGAACTCCAAGAGAGGAGAGCCCCCAGATCTGCAACTGGAGGCGAGCGACCGGGTTGAAGCGCACGTGGGCCGTGGCAAAGGCTAAAAAAATAGGAAAGGGGAGAGGGCGGCGGTGTCCACTTTCTTTAGGTGACAGGGAGGGGAGAATAAAACATATTTGACACCTTATTAGTACTACTAGTCATTAATTTTAAAAATGCTAAAAAGCATGTTCATGTCTACTTTCTGAGTAAAATTAAATTTCTGGGAGCACGGCTATGTTTCTATCCGAAGAGAGGATTTCACTAATGTATTTGTGACGTGTTAGCCATCTTCTATATGCGCAAAATTCTTTTTATCAATCACTAGCTACACGTTTCACTTTTTTCGTTAAGAATCTTCGTATTACGACCATATTTCCTTCATCAACAATTCTTGACCACAATAAAATTTCACTAATGGCACTCGGAGGATGAGAACCTCCGGCTCATGCGGGTGTGTGATTCAATAATGACTAAGACATACCTTAAGCACCATGGCTAGGTCGTGGCGGATCCATGGAGCGCGAGCTAAAGGGGTTGATGGCGACAGCCTCGTTGTGGGACCGTCACGGGGGCAGGAGCTGCAAAAGCGATGTCATCGATGGCAAAGTCAGCACCATCTCCGGCGCGCGGGGTGGCATGGGCGTCTATGGCTGTGACGTTAGAGTCTGAGGTGTCATTTGTGGAGTGGGAACGTGGCCTAAGGCTCCTAGAGTCTTGGGCTTGAGGGCGATGCCAGGACCATCGCCTTTTGGGGCGTAGGGTGGTTGTCCATGCAGGAGTTGGATCAAGATGCGGTGGAGTCCTCAACCGCCGAGGTAAGGTAAGGGCAGTGATGGCGGACTTAGGGTTAGGGTTGTCCGACAGTGTCTTGGATGGAGACCGGAGAGGACATGTGATGATGGTTGCGGCTGCCTCCGTGTCGGATGCCTCGGACACCGACCCTGAGGTTGGCATGGCGACTGGGCCTTTGGTGCCACGCAAGTGGCCGGGGAGATAGCGAACCAAAGGGAGAGGGTAAAGAAGACAAAAGGTTTGAAGATGGGAGAGACGAAGGATCCAGGGAGTGACTACAAAACTATGCAGACTTGAGTAGCTACTGCACCAACATCGATAATTTTTCCAGATCCGTGGACATGAGCACAGATGTGCGATCATGATCCCCGGCTTTTATGTCTTTTTTACGTTACAAACGGGGCACGACTATGTATTATATGTGTTTTCTTGAGAGCCACTTGTGATATGTTTTTTTGATACGTGTTTTGTTATAGCTAACACCTCACAAAAGCATTTTAACTGCGCATGTCGCTAATATTGTATCAGAGAGAGACGCACATTGTTGTTCCATCTTTGATATTGTGGCTTCTTTGTGCTATTCTCACATAGTGTTTGGTTTCGGTTCCTTTTAGACCTCTGTACTAAGTTGCATTTAATCTATAAACAAAGAAGTGTCAAAATATATAAACAGGCTCTACATATCATACTTACTAAAACAAGTGTCAAGGCTACAGTCCAAACAACAAATTTTTTTTCCAAAAAATTGAAGGTGCCTCAGATTTGCTTTACTCATAGACCAGACCCTATATCTGCTAAAAGTTTTGGCATTGACCCATCACGACAAATATTTTGATCGGTCGGCTTGGGTATGATCCAAGACCAAAATACTATACCCCAAGCGAATGCCCCTGCTTGCCAACCAGGAGTACCCCTTCCGAGCACTTAAATTCAAAAAAGTGTTTGATCCAACACCAGTTTTCACAACTCTGAAGTCCACTTTCTACGGTTATCTCTAAATAAATCAGTTCACCGAGCTGTGCTAAGTCAAGCTTTTTTAAGTTTCACAGACTTTATAGGAAAGAGCATTAAAATTTCTGGCACTAAATAAATATCATTAGATACACTATGAAAAAAGTATTTTTATAATATATTCATTTAATATCATAAATGTTCTTGTATTTTTCTATAAATTTAATCAAACTTGAAAATGTTTGATTTCAGATAACTCTAAAAATTAATTTATTTAGAGATAAATAGAGTATACAGAATCAATTTGTCGGGTTCATAAACCCAGGGTCCATAATGGACCTACTTCCCAGCAAAAGCTTGGCCCAGTAGACGACGTTGCAAACGACGCGCAACTCCTGGGCCGGCCCGAATGCCTAACGACAGGCCGGAAGAGCGATCCAGTCTCCGACCGGGAGGCCTGGCCGAGAAGGGACGGTGCTTGCTTCCGACTCCGACCCGCTTCTCCGACCGGAAGGCCTGGCCACGAAGGGCGACGCTCGCTTCCGACTCCGACCCACTTCTCTGACCGGAAGGCCTAGCCAAGAGGGGACGGTGCTCGCTTCTGACTCCGACCCGCTTCTCTGACTGGGAGGCCTGGCCACGAAGGGTGACGCTCGCTTCCGCGCTTCTCCAATCGGGAATACACCGAACCTCTGCTTACAGCTCTTCTCCGACCGGGAGGCCAGAGCCGACTGGGGAACGACCGACCGGGGACGCCTGCTCGGTGAAAACCCAGCAAACGGCCAGACCAAGTAAGGCGGACGCTCAAGTCAAACCGCAATACCAAGGACCGTACCCTGCATGCCTGCAGGACAATACTGTCCGGTCATGTCAGAAGGGTACTTTATAACCTTTCAGACATGACAGAACACGAATAATGTTGTGGGCGCCGACATTTGTCCTACAGTATGGTAGGCGTCGACATTTGCCATACCAGAAGAACACGATGGAACCAACCACATGCATCAGGGCGCCAACAGTATTGTAGGCGCCGACAAACCATCTCGTACCCAACAGCGTGGGCAATAAGACTAGGTGGCACACACCCTCTCTCTCTCTCTCACTTGTAAGGCCGTCCCCTTCATCTATAAAAGGGGATGCGCCCTCTCCCAAAAGGGGGATCGATTCGACGATTCAGACAATTGATTTCGATTCTCTCTGCTTGGCTCTAGAACTCTAAAGCCAGACAGAGCATATGTTCGAACACTTAGCGCACGTTCGAGCTCCCGTCAGTCTTGGCCCTTTGGTCCAGAGTCCGACCGGCCCTCTGATACCCCCCATCTTACTCCCACTCGTTTGTAACCCCACAGCAAACTTCGAGCACCTGGGCTCAGGAATAAAGTCACCGACCGACTCAAACCGGACGTAGGGCACGTTGCCTGAACTAGTATAAACCATGTGTCATTACGTGCTAGGCCACATCCGATTACAACGTACGGCAAAACGACAAATATTTACTAGCTGGTCACATTTTGCACCGACAGTTGGTGCCGTCCATGGGGAGGACGCTGTACGTTCACGTTTTTGGTCATCGAATGGCCCACCTTTCCACCATCTTCGGCATGGCGGGCTCAAGCGATATGACTCTCTGGAGTTTCCCACGCTCCCACCTATTGGGATGTGGGTTCCTCCCGTCTTCGAGCCATCCCAGGCCTTCCAATTCGGAAGCCTAGACTTCGTCGCCGACCGGCTCGGTGTACTTCCCCTTCGCGAGGAGGCACTTGTCCTGGTGCCCGTCGGAGGAGGAGCGCCCTCCGTCGGCTTCGGGACACCCGGCGGCCTCAACCATGAAACGCATGCGCTTCACTCTGAGCCTATGCTGGACTCAAATCCCACTGTGAGTAATGTACATATTATTCTTTACTCGCTATTTACTATCTTCCACCGATTCTTCAGAGAGACCCCGTTGTCCCTGCCGCGACCGCCATGCGACTAGTTCCCCTATGGCCTCGCATCCCCCATGGACGCGTATGCACGGGGCTCCAAAAGATGCTAACGCCGCCTCCTCTCACATCTGGATTCATGGGGATGGCGGGCTATGCTCCCGCCTCTTTTCACGACCTCATGGATGACGAGGTTGAGAGCGATGGCTCCAGCATCGGCAACATTGTGGCACCTAGCCACCCTCTGTCCCGGGAGTGCGCTATGGCGGACGCTCCAAGACAGCCGCCGGTGGCAGCGGAGTCTCTACAGACCCACGCCCCTCTGGACCCTCATGCGAAGGCCCTCACGTGTGTGCAGGAGCACGGCGAGGAGCTACGACAAAGGCGACAGACCCAGCCGCCACTTGCACCGGAGTGCTACTGCACCACGCACGCGTAACCCGCCTAGCGGTGCCCGGGGTCACGCCCGCTAGGTCCAGCGCAACATCATGGACGGGGGGAACGATCCCCCACAGTTCGCCCGGGCTGGCCAGAACATTGCTACTGCGGCAATGCTTCTACGCGGCCTTCTAGAGCTTGTCGATCCTCAGGAGCAGGCGATCCACCAAAACCTCCGAGCGCTAGTGGAAACCGCCGCCGTTCAACAGGCGGAGAGCTCCGCGTTGCGACACTGACTCGCAGCCTCTCTCCCCACTGGGGGAATGGGGCCGCACCAGTCGCATCGCTCCATCCGCTCACCTCTACAATTGCCAGGCACGGAACAGGAGGCCACAACTGCACCAAGGCCTGACCTGGTGCTAGCTCCACACCGGCCACCTATGCGCGAACGCCTCAGGCCGAACCGAGATGCTCGTGGCGTCATCAACAACGGGCGCCATGCCCGGCATGATGATGACGTCCATCAGGCGGCGGTGAGAGCAGGCGGCATGGGCTCCGGCCGGACCATCGAGGGGACCAGTGAAATGCACCCTAGGCATGGTCACCGACCCGACGCCTAGAGTCCTAGCCTAGATGGCCCGGGACCTCGGACCTTTGGCCATCGCATCCAGAGGGCACCGTTCCCACAGTGCTTCTGATCGCCTACCAACATCACCAAATATACCGGGGAGACGATCGCG